ATATTTGAACAAAATTTTTTATTAGTTTTATTTGATTTAACTGTTAATAATAACTTATATATAATTATTGGTCGATAATTGATAGGAGCTTGATATTTATTATTTAACAATTTAAAATTAACTTATAAGCATATATTTTCAAATACTCTAATAAACAGTTTAAGGAAAATGGCTGATAAAATCAATGAATCCAAACACACTTATTATTTTTTGTATTTAAATATTTTGAAGAGACAGATAATATTTATGTAAAAAACAGCTACCGCAAAGAGTTTTGAATTTCCATTTTTGTTATTTTTGGGATTAAAGAATGGGAAAGCTTTAGACTTTTCAATGACTATTTCTGTTAGTATTAACCCTATATTTAACCAAAGTATCTTCTTAATATGTTGGAATATCCCAATTCCAAGTCAACTTATGGGTTGGGTTATTCTCCAATATTTCATGGAGGTTTCTGACATAATTTAAGTTTGAATTTCATAAGCAGGAATATCTATTTAGGACTATGAGTATCTTTTTGAATTGAGGAAGGTTTTTTTTGGGTAAAATTTTACATGAAAAAGTTTATTGATAAATTTATCGAGAAAAGTAATGATATGCAGACATCCTACTTGAATAAATTTTATTTACAATTTTTACATATAATTAAATTAGTGAATTCATATAATATTATAATATCTAATAGAATAAAAAAGTAAATAATTAAATAAAGTATTAAATTGCATGAAAAAATCGTAAAAAAATTAACCTTAAATCTTTTTTTTTTTAATTGAGAATGTGTTGTTATGTAAATTGGTAGAAAAAAAAATAGAAATCAAGACATTTTGACATTAAAAATGTCAAAATTTCTTATACAATTATTTAAATAGTTTTAATAAATCTTTTTTGTACGTTGATTTATTAAAAGTATCTAAATAATTTAATAAAGAGTTCTATAATTTTAATTATTTAAATATTTTTAATGAATTTTTTTTTATATTAAATAATTTTATAAATAATTCTGTTATTGTAATTATTAAAATGTTTTGATTTTTTGTAATTCCAAATTGTTAACTTTGTAAGAAAGTTTCATTGAGATTACTTTTGGCGGGAAAGAATAAAAATTGAAAATAATGTTAATCAAAGACCTTGGGCATGAAGGTACGGTTGTTTGTTGTAGCAGTAGCACTCGACAGAATTGTGGAATGACATAAGCAGTGAGGTGAGGATCAAGAACTAACTAGTCAATCTCACTTACTTCTAATTAATGTACGACTTACTGAAAATGACTTTTTTTTTTTTTTTGCATTAATTTATATTTACTGTCCGACATAATTTCCTTGAAAATATTTGTCATCTGATATTTATTTCTTTTTCCATAAAAAATAAAAATAGAAATGGTAAAACTACGTTGAAATTTCCTTCGTAAGTACCATTACATTACTCACCTCGAATTTACTACGTATATAAAAATAAAATTTTCCTTCGTTATTTTCTCTTAGAAATTATATAATTTTCATGAAAAATATATTTTTTAATACTGATTGTATTTTTAATTTACGTGTTAAAATTATAAAAATATTATTAATTAATAAATTTAAAA